ACTGTAGTAACGAGGGGATGGACAAGGGGGCAGAGGCACCATGTGAGGGGTGCTGTGTGCTACAGCAGACACCCATCCTGCAGCCCAGCTCAGCCACCAACTTCCCTGCCTCCCACAGCACAGCACAGCACAGCACAGCACAGCACAGCACAGCACAGCACAGCCAGGACAGGACCAGCAAGCAACCCTTACCATGTCTGTATAGATCTCGATTGCTCTCATCAGACAGTTAATGGCCTCTAGGGAGGAAAGAGAAGATGAGGATGGAGAGGTCATTACAGCAGATCCTGGAGACAGGAGGTAGCCTGTGCTCCCCAAGGGAGATGCCAGACACGCAGCTGCCTTGGCTTCAGGCCTCTTGGGCTCTCTCAGAGCAACCGGAAGGAGAGGATGGGAGCCCTAGGCCCCAGGCAACCTGAGCCATACTTCCAGCTTTCCAGTGGGATCAGGGCACAATGGCATCGCCAGACTCCCCCAGAGTTTGAATCAGACTACCACAGCCCTGCTGTCAAAGGGCAAACTGATGGATGGCCAGGCTGAGCTGGGCAGAGGCTACCAAGCCCACCATCTGTCCTGGAGGCTCTACCTTGAGTAGGTCCTATCCTTGTGACTGCCCTGCCTGGCCTCTCTGGCAGAGAAGGATGGATGCCACGAGCACTAGGGCCCCTCCATGGGGGCTCTGCATCCCCAGTGCTGAAGAGCACTGTCCTTTCCTCAATGCCCTCAACCACACAGCAGGGACCCTGCTGGCTGCTCAAATAACAAGCTGTATCCAACACTAGGATGGCACCAGGCTACCTTTGTTGTACCATCTCTTCCAAGATTTTAAATTTGGGGAAGGCTTTTTTTTGGGACAAGTTATTTGGAGGAGAGAGGCGTGAGTGGGAGGCATTTTCTAGCAGATGGACACGAGCTCTCAGTATCTTTTAAATACTATAAAGCATCTCAGGATGGGGGTTGGGGGAGGCACGGGGTTGAGGGTCCAGGTGGGCCAGAGGGCTTGTGCTGGGAAGGCTCCAGGACTGCCCCCGGGCTGAGAGTGGACTGGACTCTCTTGGGATGAGGATGCTAAGGCTACTTCTTGAGGAGACTTCGGTAGCCAAGGTCTGTTGGCATAGGCTCTATTGGTGGGACAGTCCCTGCCACGGCAGTGGGGGAGAAACATGGATTCACAGGGCCTAGTCCTCTTATGCTGGCCCCTTGCTCTGGGAACAGCTTGGAAAGTAGTAGGCTGCCAGCTGACACCCGGGCCTGCTCTTACCACAGGGCTTATCTGATGCCACAGGCCTCAGTGAAACCTTGAAGGTAAATAGTAGGGCCCTTGGTCTATTCCCACCCTCTTGTGCTCAGCCTGTCCAGAGCAGGTAGGGAGTTACAGAGCCCGGCTCACCTCCGCATCACCCTGAAGCCCCTGATCACATGCAGATCTAAGCAAGCACCGTCCACAACAAACTAGGGACAAACCACGAGCTCCAATGAGGCGGTGGGGATAGGTAGATAGGAAGCCAGACTGCTTCCCTGCCCGTGCACATTCACAGCTCATTTAGAGCTCCTGCTCTAAAAGGGTCACATTCCCAGGCCTCAGGCAAGCAGCTCAGGCGAGATTCCTAAAGAGCTGATGGACCAGACCCCAGGGCAGGGGATCTCACAGCTAGCTAAGGGAGGTCCTTCCTGAAGAAACTGGGGGTTCAAGCCTCCACTGGTCATCCAGTTGTTTCCCAGGGCACCCAGCCATGCAGGGAGGCTCTGGTGCCAGGGGCTGCCCCCTTCTGGATGCCAGGAATGAATTGCTGTGTACAGCTCACAGTAGGTGTGTGCTATCACTGAAGAGAGAACACAGCAGAGTGACGGCTAGGCTGAAGTGTAGTGGGGCAGCACAAGTCCCCACTGGGTTCCTTGGAGGAGGGGGAGTGATCTGCTCAGACCACCTGGGCATGTCCTCCCCTGCTTGGTCACTCTTCTCTGTGAGCCCTGACTGGCCCCGCAGAAGAGCTGTCAACCGTACAAATGCACCCCCTTCCCCTCATATGTGGAACTGTGACTGGGCAGGGCAGCAAGGCAGCAGCGCTGGATGCCACGTGGCTGAGTCCCTAGCCCTTAACACCAGAAGCGCTCCCCTCACAACTGTGCTTTCCCCGTGAGGCAAGTCGGCCCCTCTCTACCTTCACTCACACCCTTGGCTGCAGCACCCTCAATACTTTCCCATCAGCTTGGACTTGCTGAGGCCGGGGCCCATGCCTGGGTCCCGAGAGAAAAAGGACATGACCACAAGCTGGGAGGGGCAGCTATGGCATCCTGCAGGTTGGCATCCACTGCCACCTAGGAACAAGTCCTCCCGGCCATTCCGGCTGGAGCAGCAGCTGAAGGGCACAGATGCCAGGCAGAATCTCCAGGCCAACCAGTTCCCCAGGGAGCAGAAGGGAAAGTGTGGGGACGGCTCTGTGGGGGAGAGGACTGCCCTGAGTCACTGGGTGTATCTAAGTCCTGGCTGAAAGGCCATCCGTCCCTCTCTGTTTGTCAGGCCTGAGCCACACATCATAGCTAAACAAACAGGAGTGACCAGTCAGCCCAGGGACAGAGTCACCACAGTCATCTCTCTAATTGGGAGTGGTCCTGTGACAATGACGGCTGACATCCACTGATGCTGGGGAGGACCGAGGTGCTTGTCTTCTCTTCTCCTCAGAGGTGGGCTTTCACCCAGACCCCAAGCCTCTCCTTTGGGAAAGAACAGTCACTTCTTTCCCACTCTCCTGAGAGAAACAGCCTGGATACTTTAAAGATTTATTTATGAGACACAGTCTCATGTAACCCAGGCTGGCCTCAAACTCACTATGTAGCCAAGAGCTAAGGATAGCTGAGTGTCTGATCTTCCTGTCCCTACTTCCCAAACTCTGGGACGACAGGCAGGCACTGCCATGACTAGCTTAGATGGCCAATTAAACAAACAAACAAACAAACAAACAAACAAATACCTGTGCGTGCTGAAATTTAAAGTTAGTCATCTATGTAGCTCTAAGATTTTCAAAAAGAACCATTTTCAAAAAGAACCAAAAAGAACTGGGGACATGTACAACACATTTGCAGCACACAGAGGTCCAGGCTCCATTCCCAGCACCACAAAAATAAGTGAACAAAAATACCAAAAGCAAATTCCTCAGCCTGGAAATCTCAAGTCTGAGGTCCATGGGCTGTGCTTTGGCCTAACCAGGCTCCTATGTCATAGGCTCTGCTTTAAGGAACTGGGCTCTGGCAGCTCACTCCAGGCTTGCTCTCTCTGCTTCCTTCTGGTGTTCTGGGAAGGCAGGTCAGGCTGACTTCCGCTCTACCTGGTTCATCTGGGACTGCCCCGCTCCCTGCTCCCTGCTTCCTTCTGCATGTTAATTCTGAAAACTGAACAGCTTTGCCTGGCTCCCTGGCAAG